ATTGTATTGTGCCACGCCCAACAGAAATAACCCAGGTGGATAAGATTTACAATCAGCTCCTCAGTTGCTCATTCCACCACTGAGTTTACAATGACTTATGGGTAGAAAAGCCATACTAAGTAATTTACTACACTGCACCATCAGAGAGATGCAAATCAAAACAATGAGATACCATCTCACCCCAATACTAATGGCAAAGTTCAAGACAAAATAACAAATGCTGGCGAGGATGTGGAGAGATTGACTCTCTCATACACTGCTGGTGGGATTGTGAAATGATACAACCACTGTAGAAAGCAGAATGGAGATTCCTTAAAAAGCTGGAATTAGAAATATCATTTGTCCCAGCAATCCCATTACTAAGTATATGTCCTAAAGAAGTGAGAGCCAGGATATGAACTGATAGATGCACCCCGATGTTCATCGCAGCACTGTTTACAATAGCAAAAAGATAGAAACAACCTACATGCCATCGATAGAAGAATGGATAGGCAAACTATGGTACATGCACACAATACAATACTATACAACACTAAAAAATAATGTAGAATCTGCAAAACACTGTATAATATGGATGACTTGGAGGACACTATGCTGAGTGAAATAAGTCAATCACAGAAGGACAAATTCAGTATTAGTTCATTATTGTAAAAAGTCAAGGAAAGGTTTATGTGTGGAAGGCAACTTTCTTTGTTGGTTACCTGGGGTGGGAGGAGAGGGGAGGGAACACTGCCCCCCCCCCCAAAAAAATGCATTGACCCGTGTCACTTAAGTTTTGTGTGTTTCCCTGTACCTAAACGGTATTTCAATAAAATGTATTTAAAAAAAAAAAAAAAAATCCTATGAGGCAAAATGATCAGGTTTACTGGTCTGATGCTTTGTGGTGAGAGCACCGGGATTATGGCCTCCAGTTACCCTTCAGGTCTGGAATTGAATTCACTGCCTTGATTTCCAGCCAAACAATAGACATATAGGGTACACACTTATATTAGGAAGGTACACTCCTTAGAACAATCAATCATGGGAGAACAGGACAGTAATTGCACAGGGAGATAGCTCAGGGGCCAGGAATGCATAGGAAAGAAGGGCACAGGGAAAAGGTAACCACAGGGAGGAGGTGGGAAGAGAGCTGTTACACTGTGGGGCATTGTAGTCAATGGCATGAAACAAAATATATATAAACTGCTATATGAAAAATGAATTTGCTCTGTAAACTTTCACCCAAATAACAATTTTAAAAAAACAACCTGTGAGGCAAAACTCTGTCGTATAGGGTCGCTTAGTTGGTATTAACTCAGCAACAACAGTTTGGTGCAGGTGGTCATAACAGTATTGGAGACAACTGTCATAGTACCGTAACACTCGAAGAAGCAAGGCTCCCAGGCATACATTTGGCTTATATGTTGTTACCAAACTTCTAGCCAGGGCCATACCTTTGCTAATTTTGTCCCCAAATCTGTTCTTATCATTGTTTATAGTAGATTCTGGACCTCATGAATTTAAATACTTGAAAAGTGATAGAAAGCTCATAAGATTAAATTTTTTGAATGTTTTGGTTCTTCTGTGAACTGTTTCATGTGCTGCCTTAATGGCCTTGCTTAAAGTCTTTTCCCAGGAACTGGCGGGGAACTTTTTTTTTTTCAGTTAATTATTTTAATTATATATTTACTTATTTAATTTAAAAACATCACAAATATTATGCATACATAAGTTTTAGACTAGGAGAACATGCATGCTGTGGTATGGCTCTCCTAGCCAGTCTTTTTTTTTTTTTTTTTTTTGGTTTGATTCCTTTGTGCCCCATTGGGTTTGTTAAGCAAATATGCATATGCTGTTATCACAATTTGAGAGAAAAGATGTGGTGAATATAGGAGAGGTACATTTCCATTAGTTTTATCACCTCTAGTTTTTAATATACTTAACTCTTTAAATGACATCATGCAAAAGGTGTGTTTTTTTCTTGCTCATTTTCCTAATGTGCACAATTTTTAAAATACACTTTTTTTGGAATAATTTTTCTATTGCAGCAAACATACATGTAAGAACATATTTGCCATTTCAACATTTTTTACGTGTACAGTTCAGTGACATTAATTATATTCATCATGTTGTGCAACTATCATCATTACTGGTTTCTAAAATTTTCCATCATCCTTAACAGGAGTTCAGTGTCTCCCAAGCAATGAGTGTCCCTTCTCTTTCCCTTCCTCCTTTGGTAGCCAAATAAACGTTGGTCTCTGTACACGCGCTTATTCTAGATACTTCTTATAAATGAGATCATACAATATTTGTCCTTTCGTGACTGACTTATTTCACTCAACATAATATTTTCAAGATATATCCATGTTGTAGTGTGTAGCAGGACTTCATTTCTCTTTACTTCTGAGTAATATTAATCACTTATGATGTACAGAAGAGTTAAAAAGATAATACAGGGAGTTCCCATATACCCTTGGCTCATTTTCCCTAATGTTAACATCTTACATAACCATGACTTTGCTCTTAATTTTTTATGACACCTAACTCATAAAGATATCTATCAGATCCCGTCATTACCCAGTGACTGTCTTCTCATAAATTATCAGAGAGCATTTGGATTTTAGCAATGTTGGCTTTCATTGTTTGCACCCAGTCTCACTATTTCTTTCTTTCTTTTTTTTTTGTTATTAGGATTTGGGTGAAGATTTACAGAGTAAATTCACTTTTCATACAGCAGTTCACATATACTTTGTCTCATGTCATTGACCAAAATTTACAATGCAG